TCATTTTAAAATCCATCATGAGAAAAACACTTGGCTTTCCCAAATTTGGGTAGAAAACTTCATTCACATTGAACAAGGAAAAGTTTCAAATTTAGGGTTGTTTTTGCACAGTAACTTCTGCTGTCATTATCCAAATTTATTAAAATAACCTTAATAATAAAATTTATTTCTTAATATACCTATTTTACTTTTTCCATATCAAACTAAAATATATATATTTTAAAATAATTACTTAAAAATTGAAAATCTTTAATAAATATGCTATGCTAAATTTCATTCACGTATTTTTATATATTATGAATGTTGACCATAAAAATAGAAATAAAACTAACTATAAATATGTGTGATAAAGTATGTCTATTTTTGTTATTATACATTTCAACAATAATTTTATAAACAGTTTACTAAACACTTAAATTTCTGCTTTTGATACTCACAACAGTTTTATAAAAATATTTACCAAACACTATATGCTTCTGGTCACGATAACTTATCACTAACAACATAGCAACAGCACAACAATGCTAAACTCGCTCTAGATCATCATTCATCTACCGTGGAAAGAACTAGAAGCTTGCTTTATGAAGCTGCACACGAGGGGAGTGTACTTGCTACTCTGCTTGAATTGCTTCAACAAGACAGGTTGATTCTCGATTGAGTCATCGTGGATGGTTTTACCGAGGGTACTCGTCTCCATTTGGCAGCAATGTTGGGACATACAGATTTCGTGAAGGTGATTTTGAGCCGAAACCCTGAACTCGCCAGGGAGTTGGACTCGCAGCATTCATTGCCTCTTCACTTGGCGGCGGCAAAAGGGGACTTGGAAACGGTGGAAGCATTGTTGGTTGTGAGATCCGAGATGTGCTTGCGGCGGTAAAAGGGCGCCTTGACGTGGTGGGATAGTTGGTTAGTCCGAACGCGGCTCGGGTGACTTTAGGCCGGGGAGAGACGGTTTGCATGTGTGCGTGAGGCATAATCAGTTGGAAGCTTTGAGGCTTTTGGTTTAGGTCATGGATGATAATCAGTTTTTGAATGCTAGGGATGATTATGGCATGACTGTACTTCCCCTGGCAGTGGCTGATAAACAGATTGAGGTAAGGATAATACTTTTTCATTCGACTATGTAACCTAACTAGTTATGATTTAATAATTCGCAAAATATGAATACATTCTGTGATTTGATCAAAATCCAATAATTTAGTTATTACTTGTTCGCAACTTTGCAAACTAGAAAGTGTGCTAAGCTTTAGAATATTAACTTATAATTCAGACGATATCCAATGTAGATGCCAATATCCATATCAATGCTAAAGTATTGAAGTGAATGCCGCAAATGCAGAGTCAAAGAAACGAGAATGACATTGACATTGCAGAGTACCTTCGAGTGGCGGGAGCTTTGCGAACCACAGACACTCCTAGTAGTAGTAGTACTAGCCGTGTTCACTTTAATGTTGTGCATAATTATAAGCCAGAGGACTGGCTTGTGAGAAAGCGCGAAGCGCTTATGGTGGTGGCCCGCTGATGGCGACAATATTGCCGGCGGCGGTCTTTGGCAAGATAACTCGTCCTCTACTACAGGATCATCATATAATTCCCAATCAAGTCACCAAGCGGGAGATTCAACAATGGATTAAGAACATGACATGTATTACACCTGGTACTTGTATTACAACACGATCGGCTTTGTGGCTTCTTTGAGCATAATCTTGTTGCTAATCACAGGTCTGCCTTTCATGCGCAGGTTCTTCATGTGGGTTTTGACGGTCATCATGTGGCTCGCTCTTACGGCAATGTCTTGTACGTATAGAATCTCCATCTGTATTTAACTTCACGCCAACAAAACAGGCCCAAGTAGCTCGAACTGTCATATCCTATTTAGTTTACGGGTGGGTCGGCGTCATGGACATTATTTTACTAATTCACACCATTCGTCTAACGGCGAATTTGTTTACAAAGTTTAAGATTTGTTACTCCACGAAGAAAGACGTTCATAACGACCAACTTCTAATCTTTCCAGCATTTCAATGCATCATGTACATATATGTTTGTTTAGATTTTCAATTTTCAAGGTTCTGTAGCTGCGACATGTACAAGTTCAATGTCGGTATTATGAACTTTTGCATCAGTTTTTACGTGTTTATTATGAATATCCTGAGACTTCTTTTTTTCTAATCCAGTTTCCTTGGTAAAGGAGATTTATAGTACTGTTGTTATTTGTTGCTAGTAGTTGTGGCGACATAATTATGTGTTTATACATGAAATTTTTTTGGCATCATATTCTGTGTAAATACGTACTCCCAGAGAGACTTGATCATCAAATACGTTTTGATGAGATGGTTCCATGAGTAAATTTCAATCATAAATAGAACTATTCATTTAAATTTCAACCATAAATGGAACTATTTATACGATATTGCCTAAATTATATTTCACCATTTGTAGCAACTCTACTAGTGCAGTGTGTAATAATCAGAGAATCTCTACCACTATAGTTTTTCACTATATGTTCAAACCGGTCTCTACATGTATACATGTATTGCAATCAGAGAATCTCTACCACTATAGTACATAATCAGAGAATCTTGGCTTGGCTTGCAATCGGTCTCTACCACTATGTATACATGTATTGCAATCGGTTATGTACTGCAAGATCAAGTGATACATGTATTCGTTGAAAGTCACAAGCTTGGCTTGCAAGCTCCTCTAGACGGTATGTCACGAAGAAGGATTCGGAATATCTGTCCAAGAGGAGCGGTACGTCACGAAGAAGGATTCGGAATATTTGTCTAATCTCAAATGATGTCTGACTAATCATATTTTATTATAGCATTTAATAGATTCAAACTTTAAAGTATGAAAATGGTCAGTTGCAAAACATTTCAAAATTTTCAAATATTGTAGCATAGTTTGATTGATTAGCACCGTGTTGGACATTAAAACTTGTCTAGTAATAATTTGAGTCCCACAAAAAAAAAAATGATTAACATAATAAACGAGGGTAATTAAAGAGTAAAGACAAATTTGAACCTAGCTATGACAACTAGTAAAAAACTACGACTGACCAACAAATAAAGACGACCATATAAAAGAAGAAAACGACAACGTTTAAACGGAGGACATGATAAGAATTAAGAGCCAAAAAAAAACATAGGATACCAAATGAAACGACAATTAAGTAACAAAACGACAAGAAAACTACAAAAGGAAAGATAAAAAAAGGTCGCTTAGCAACGAGGAAAAAGATTAAACGACAACAAAAAAAATCAGGAAGGGAAAAAAAAAGAAAGTCAAATTACAAACAACAAAGTTAGAAACGACAACAACCTATGTTTACAGCATGAAGAGTAAATGACAAAGTACGACAAATGAACGACCATCAAAAAATTAAAACGATAGAAGAAGAACACGACCAAAGTAACAATCGACGACAACGAAAACATCAAATGAATGAAGAACCACAAAAAGATAAAACGGCAAGAGAAGAAGGAAAAAAAAAAGGGATGAACGACAGCAAAGTGAAACAACGTGAAAATTGGAAACGATTAAAAGAAAAGATTAAATGACAGAGTGATCAACAACAAAACTAAAATTTAAAAATGCAATAGCAAAATTCAAATAGCAAGGGTTGAATAATTAAAAAACGACAACAAAATTAAGAAAACGATAGAATTAAAAGCGTGACTAAAAGAAGAAGCAGTAGTGGAATCAGGAAGGGTAATCTTGATAAATTTTCTTTGATAGTGCATAGATTAAAATTTTTATTTTTTACTCTTAATTCATAATTTTTAGTTAAATAATTACACTAATAATAAAAGAGTATTAAAGTCAGCCTCATGCACTTTCAAAAATAAATTCTCTATTTACCCTTAATAGATGGTATCTGCAGCCAGAAAATCTTTCAAAAGTCACTTTCTCCCACGATGAAGAAAACAGGTAACACTTTAGAAAATGCAATATGTCTCCAGAAAGTTCCATATTGCGTGAAAATTCGGATGAATATGCATGCATGGCAGAAAATGTGCATTCGTGTCTTTGTAAAGAAATTGAAGTGTCCCCTTGGCAATAGTTAGAACAATCAAAACAAAAAACAAAAAACAAAAAATAAAAAATAAAAAAATAAACAAAACAAAAAAGAAGTGCAAACTAAAAGTTCAATTGCACAATTTCTGCTCAAGTCATTGAAACCTGAACTAGTCCTCTCAAACACAAGCGTCTAACTGTCGGAGACTCATCTGATACGTGTTGACACAACACCTCCACCATCTCCTCGAATAGAAATTATTCAATACACCATATGCACCACGTCATATTATTTATGTGACACACTTGTTTAATAAGATTATATCATTTGAATATTTTATCTATGTTAATTTTTTACTTTTATTTTTAGTTATGCTTAATTTTAAAGTTAAGTCATTAAAATAAAGAAATTACGTAGAATAATAATTGTTTTTGACTCAATAATTAATGTAAATACCTATTAAAAAATAGAAAAATAAAAATAAAAAACTGACATAGATAAAATATCTAAATTATATAATCTCATTAAATAAATATACCACATAAATAATATGACGTGGTACACTCAGTATATTAAACCCAAATCCACCACTACAGTATAAATAAATTAAAAAATAAGTTGAAATTAAAGTGGCTAAAACAAATTAAAAGAGAACAAAAAAAAATGAAAGTTGTAATAACAGTAGAACATGATAGAAACAACTTGAATGTAGCTAGTTAAGGAATTCAAGCCCAAAAAATAACAATACTAGTATAGATAAAAGGCAATTAATAATTAATTAAAAAAGCAAACATAGATATCTGGCAGAACCTTCAACCATTTTCTCCACCATTCTAGAAAGGACACTACATACGTGGGCCATCATTGCTTGTCAACCTTTTCTCAGTAAGCTCCAGAACTCTCTCACATTCTTTAAAACACATTATCCCTATTGCTCACTATAAAAACCAATCCCAACTCCAGTCTGAAACCTAAATTATCTGTCGAAAGATCATTTTCAGCGATACCAAATTCTTCCTCTTTTTTTTTTTATTAAAAAAAACATGGATTTAACCAATAGCATTGGCTTCAACTCCCCACTCTTCTCAATTCTCGAAGACATGCTCGACGTTGCCGGCGATGAGCCCGAGAAGTCGCGGAACAACCCGTCCCGGGCTTACGTCCGAGACGCGAAGGCGATGGCGGCGACGCCGGTGGACGTGATCGAGTACCCGAACGCCTACGAATTTGTGGTGGACATGCCCGGGATCAAGCCCGGCGAGATCAAGGTCCAGGTGGAGGACGACGCCGTTTTGGTGGTGAGCGGAGAGCGGAAAAGGGAGAAAGACAAGGACGCCATAGATGGGGTCAAGTACGTGAGGATGGAGAGGAGGGTCGGCAAGTTCATGAGGAAGTTTTCGCTGCCGGAGAACGCCAATAAGGACGCCGTTTCGGCGGTGTGTCGGGACGGTGTTCTGACGGTGAAGGTGGAGAAGCTGCCGCCGCCGGAGCCGAAGAGGCCTAAGACCATCGAGGTCAAGGTTGCTTGAGTGTGGGACTTATATATATTTGTGACTTGTGAAGGTACAATGTTTATGTATGGTGTCGAATCGGGGATATGTTGTACTGCTTTTGGTGTATGCAGGTGGTTTGTATTGGTCTTGAGACTTTATGAATAAAATTGAGTTTTTTTTAATAAAAAAAAACTTGTATTTATATTTTCTTGTTTTCGCGATGGGAAAAAGAAAAAGATTTAGATCCTTTGCCGACCACATCATGATCGTGGAGGGAAAAGGGAAAAGGAAAAGTGAATCATGAGAATTTAAATTTTTAATTTAAATTGAGAATTTAAAATTTTAATTTAAATTTAAACGTGATATTTTTTTAAAATTTTTAATTAGAAAAAATTAATAACTTCTAAACGAAAAAGGTCCCATCATTTATACTAGTTTTGCTAGAAAGAACACATCGTTTTCCTTTGAACGACAAGAAAAGACACTATCGACTTAGTTAGATATTAAAAAATTATTTTACACAAAGAGCAACAATACTACTCCAAAAATAGATTTAGAAAATTAAAAAGTTCAAAAACAATAAATTGTCAGAAAAAGTAGCATTTTCACTCTAAAACCACAGGACTTATAATCAATTCCAAATAATAAACAATTAATAAAAACTTAACAACTAGTAAAATCAAATTATATATTTTGTAAATTTTAAAATGTCAACATGTAAAATAATAAATCAACCTTTAAAAATAGTTAGCTCTTATAGTACTTATAAGTAAATGGACGGTAACCTAGTGATAAAGAAGCATCATGGTGTCAACAATTTAAATGTTGGGTCCCTGTTTTTTTTTAGAAGGAGACTAATAGAGTGTTTGGTATGATGATTCGTATTATGGTTCGAATCTTAATTCATAACTCGTTATAATGTTTTCTCTCATAAAAAATACACGTAAACTGAGAATAATTCTGAATAATAATTCTAAATCTGTAAAAAAATGTTAATTATACGAGCGTAGTATTCAATTTAGGCTCCGTTCATTTCACCGATTTAAATTAAAAATTTAAGTTTTGTTACAGTAATAAACTCTTAAAAATAGTCACATTTAAATTTTTTATTATAGTAAAAAACTCTCACATAAAGTCACATTTTAACTTAAATTAAAAATTTGAATCAGCGAAGTCCAATTTGAGGGTTTTTTGGTAATGTTAGTTTCATCTTTTTCATTAAAAAAAATAAAAAAAATGTGGAGAGATTCCATTTGGACAGGCAGGTCAAGATCAACAAATGGCCTTGCATGATCAGCAAAAAATGGCCTCGCATGACCAGTTGGTTTCCGACAACAAACAGACCACAGGTTGCCACGTCTCTAAGGCGCGGCACCTGAACGACACGAAAAAGGACCAACTTAAGGCCAATGCTTACCAATCCTTCCATATAGACTACCACGTAGCACCCCTACAC